CTGGGACACTAGCCAGGCAGAGTCACAAGTTTCTGGAAAAGGGTATATTTCACATCATCCTTAATTGTTTCCAAATTTTGAGCCACTTCAATACGAGAATCCCCTAGGACCAGTAATTTTATTTGACTCTTGGTACCCTCTGTTTCCAAAGAAAAGGGGAGAGGAAAAAATATGAGAACACGCTTTTAAAGTGATTTCTTTGTTCATTGGTGGGCTCTCAGCTTTGACTTTAAGGTGGGTTACTGGTCTCTCTGGACTAACAGTAGTAAGTATATGTGAAGATTTCAGAGTGTTTAAATGTTGCTTTTTGTGGGAGAGTAGTTTACAAAGTGGTCACAAGGTGGTGTTCACACATAGGTTTTCTTTCTCAGGACATTTCTATATCCAGGTTAGCTTTTCTGTGCTGTTGGTCCAGGATGAAGACAACTGTCTGCTTGTAAGGTTGGGGATACAGTGGAACCTCAGATTTCTAAACACTGCTGTCCCCGTTTGGCTCCGAGGAGCCAGAGGAGATGAGAGGGAAACACCAGGTAGAAGGGGAGGGAGAAGAGGGGCAGCTGAGCAGGCTGATTGGCTCTGCTCTCCTTTATACTCCAGCCCCCCCCCCCCCAGCTTGAGTTGCTTTGTAAGGTTTATCTTTCCTTTAATTAAAACCCCTTGCCTATCTTTTACAAAGGGTATTTAGCTAGGGAAAGAGGACCTTTATCCTAATGAAGGACACAGTCTTTGTAGATATCTGTAGCATAGCTGATAATCTCAGTCTCCTGTGTGCTCATCTATGAACTGTGAAAGGTACCAAAACACCCCCCACAAAATCCAAAATGATATTACGCCTCAAATCTCATCGCTGTGTCAAAGCTAATTCACATAAAACAAATGCCAAAATGTTCAGTCTGTATGATCAGTCTGCTAAAATTTAAAATGGATGAAATCCATATAGGTAAAAGTAGTAGAGCAATGCTGCAAGGAAGGGAAACTTGAATGAGGCTTTTAAGAATGAGCAAATGTTTCTGTCTGGAGTGGAAGAATTGGGCAAACTAGTTATAGGTTATTTGCCCTATTAAAATAGGGCAAGCTGTGACATCCACAGCTACTGTTTCGTAACTGGGAAAAGATCACGTGTGCAATTCAATATGTGGAATGGGCTCTTGATTTAAGGAAATATAAATCAAGACAGTGTAGACTTGACTGTAACTTGAATTCTGGATTATCCTTTGAGAAGTCTGATGTTGAAAAGAGATGAGAGAATGTGTGGAAATCTGCATCAGAAACAGGCCTGCCAAATTGGGGTATAGAGATGATGATTATAGAACCGTATGAATCTAGAGACCAGAATTCTGCTGCCAGTACCCCGAGCAGCCCTGGGTTAAGTCTCTCAACTAGCATGGGCCTACTTTTCTCATCTTTTAAGTGAGAAAGATTGGGAGCTGCCGTTCTTTGGCTTGGCATACACCTTCACCTTTGGAAAGCAACCTCTTTATCTCTCCCTGGGATTTTTTGCACTTGATCATTTTGTGATGTGGACTGGAGTCAACGGACAGTGTTAAGACTCTAGAAGACCATCAGGCAGGTGGTATGCTTCATTAGTTTGTTGGCAGAGTTCACCAGCATGGCTCCGGTGCCCTAGTGCCAACTTTTTCCTAATTTCCCCAAGTTGGAGTCTAAGAGACAACTTACATCTTAGCCAAGAAAAGTGACAACGAGGAGCAAAGCTATGAAAGAAAGATACTAAAAATATCAGATGTGATTAGACATTTCTAATAGTGACAAGAAATTAGCCTAGTTACAATTCATGGGAAAATATGTTGGTTTTTAATTCACAAAGAGAACATTTCACAATTTAAAGAATTTCCACTAAGCCATTAATCCAAGCTAGTAGAATTTCTCCTCTGTGCTTTGTAAACCAGCTTCTTCTTAAGATTGGAATCACAAATTTAGAACTTGTCTATGTGATGAATTTTGACTTTCCAGTCGGATTTATGACACATCTCCTCATTTATATGTAAAAATGTTTACATTAGAGTTACACGTTTTCTTAGGTTCGCAGTTGAGATGAATTGATGAGTTTCTGTTGCGTGTCAGATTATTTAAAGGGCTTGAAATCATTCCCGTTAACATGTAGTTAAGGTTTCCAAAATCATTAATTTCAAAATGCAGGTAATAAGACATTGTCACACCTTGTTTCTAAATTTCTTCTTGTGGTTGAAAACTGACACCTTTTACATAGCAGGCCCTGGTATTCTCTGTTCAGTCTCTGTGTCTTTTTTTTCAGTACATATTCATTGGATTTAACAATCAAAGGACACCAATCAGTAAGTAGGGGAAATTCCTCTGTCTCCCTTATTCCTAGCCAGCAGGCTCTCTCCACTGGCGCAGATGGAAACGTCCTTCCAAAGATTTTTGCCATATCCAGGAAAACCGGTGTACATAGTCTTTCATTTTCCTTTTTGTTACAAATGATAATAAACTCTGGAAAGAAAGAAATAGCTTGTTGATTTCCTTGCTTCACACTAGGTCTGGAAAATGAAGCCATATCCAACTACACCGCATGCTGCTATTTTATTTTTCTTTTTTCTTCTAATCTTAGCCAAAAGGCTGAGAAGAGATTTTCTTCTCTCTCTTTTTTTTAAAGATTTGTTTACTTTTATTGCAAAGTCAGATCTATAGAGAGGAGGAGAGACAGAGAGGAAGATCTTCCATCCGAGACAGAGAGGAAGATCTTCCGTCCGATGGTTCACTCCCCAGGTGACCGCAAAGCCAGTTCTGTGCTGATCTGAAGCCAGGATCCTGGAGCTTCCTCCAGGTCTCCCACAAGGTGCAGGGTCAAGGCTTTGGGACATCCTCGACTGCTTTCCCAGGCCACAAGCAGGGAGCTGGATGGGAAGTGGAGCTGCCGGGATTAGAACTGGTGCCTATATGATATCCAGGCACGCTCAAGGCGAGGATTTCTAGGCCACCGCTCCGGGTCAAGTGCTGCTACTTTTCTTTTTCACACACATCTTTATCCCATTGAGGTGATAGACACACAATTGTATCCCGATGGGTGGATGGGTCAATTCGTTTTTGTGTCACAGTACTTATGGCATTCATTTTCATTTCTCTTATTGTGAGTGAGGTTAAACCTCCATTTATAAGTTAAGAGCAATTCTTATTTCCTTTTCCTACGAAATATCGGACTTTGCTTATTTTGTATTAAATTGCCTTTTATTGATTTTTTTTTGACGATGTATTGAGTTTGTAGTCAGAGACAGAAAGTGCACATTCTCACATGAGAGAAAAAGGGTGTGCTTCCATCCACTGCCTCACTCCCTGGATGAGTGCAGCTACCAGCCAGCACTCGGCCTGGCTGAAGCCCCAGGTTAAGGGTTTCATCTGGGTCTCCCACATGAGTGCAAGGGCCAAAACACTTGGGCCATTTTTAGTTGCTTTTCCCAGGCCATTAGCAGGGAGCTGAATGGGAAGGAAGAGGCACATTCAGACTCAAAGTGGCAGCTTCACCCACTATGTCACAACACTAGCTCCTGTTGTATTAATACATAGGTGTTGTGCATAATAGGTTTGTCTGTAACATGAATTACAAAGTTCTTTTAATTTATCAGGTTTTTGCCACAAAAAGAATTTCAAGTTATACAGTTCAATTTATCAGACTTTTGGGGGGTTCTTCTGATGCTTTTATAACTTTGTTGATTTTATTACATTCAGAGCTTTAATTCATTTGGAATTTATCCTGGTAGGCAGAATGTGGAGTAATTCAATTTTGCTTTCCAGATGGAAAGAGAATATTGTGGATAGTAATAGTACTATATTAACATGTCTCTTCTGGTTTCCTAAGAATGTATAGTGATTATTATTTTCCTTTCTTTTTAAAAGAAACCCTCGGTAACCCATGAAGGTTGCTGGGCCCCAACTAGTCCGGTCATATTCTTCTGCCTTCCTCAGGCTCACCAGCAGGGCGCTGGATGAGAAGTGGAGCAGCTAGAACTCACACTCGTGCTCACATGGGTTGGCAGCTTCACAGGCGGTCACTGCACGCTTGGCCCATATAGACTATTTTTGAAAGGCATTATCTACAGGATGAAAAACATTTTCTGTAAGCGTATGTTTTAACTTTGGATTTTTCCAGTACTGATTTGATTTATATTATTATTATTTTTTAAATGACAGAGAGACAGAGTGTATTTTACTTTCCTAAGGCCACACTCAGTGTTTGCTAAACAGGAATATTGATACAAGTGAGATTAAGAAATACTGAAATATCACACTTGTCAAAGAGGCCGACCTGTGCCAGCTACAACTCTGTGGAATATATTCAAGAACTCTAGAAGGAATCCAAAAAGGTCTCTGACATTGGGAGAAAATAGCTCTCAGAAAGCCTGTGTACTTGATGTGGGACGGGAGCCATGGTACCACTTGCATACCAAAGCCCTTTTACTGACTTTGAATTTTCGTTGAAAACTCCAAACAATCGTTTAATAAGTGTGAGTATTCAGCTTCCATTTGAGATATTTTAGCTTGTCTGGGTTTTGATAGAAAAAGGATGAGAAAGATCTGTCCCACCCATTCTGCCAAAAAAGTAATAAAGGCTTGGTGACCCGTTTTTTTCCCCATAAGCTATGGAAACTTGCCTTTTAAAACTTTTTAATTTTTAAGAATTCTAATTGGCTCAGTTAAATTGGCTATGACAATACTTTCTTTAAAAAATATGAGGCTTAATGGAAGTAACAAACACTTTTCTTGGAAAGGGGATGAATAATTTGAGATACCTTTATTCTTTTATTCAAGTGTTTTTATCATTCATTATGGGTGAAATCCTGAATGGTGTTACATAATTGGTAAAAACTATATAAGTAAGACAAGGGGGAAAGTTAAAAGGGCCGTTTAATACGTTTGAAGACCTATTTGAATACATGATCAATATGTTGTTTGTGAAAGGATAGGAGGTTAATGAAAATCAGTATCATTCAGCACATTGTTTTGTTTTTCTCTCCTTCTATTTCTAGATTGCCAAAATGCTTTGGAGTTTTTAGCTGAAACTCAGAGAAGTCCAAAATAAACCCGAGATTGTAAAAACAGAAGCTGCAGTCGGGGATTTAGTGCCAATGCATCAACAAAAAAGACAACCAGAGTTAGTGGGAGGGAATCTTCCGGTTTTCGTGTTTCCCACGGAGCTCATATTTTATGCTGATGATCAATCAACACATAAGCAAGTGTTGACTCTGTACAATCCCTATGAGTTTGCCTTAAAGTTCAAAGGTGAGTCTCTGAGGGGTATTTTAAACGTTTTAAACAAGTGCTTACTAATTTTTTGACTTGTAGTAACTAATTTTTTTTAATACTAATGGCCAATGTGACTTTTTCTTGCAGTTTTGTGTACTACTCCAAATAAGTATGTTGTCGTTGACGCTGCAGGTGCAGTAAAGCCTCAGTGTTGTGTGGATATGTAAGTTCAAATCGCTTCTGGTAAAACATTTTGAAATATATTCATCTATTTTTAGTTTGAAAAAGATCTTAAAGTTGTTCCCACACAAACATTTACTGTATTTTAACTTTTTTGCTCAAAGTGTGTAAGTCTATCAAAATTTTTTTTTAAGAAGTCCAAAGTGACACAAGTTGACCCACTGTTTAATATTTTGCAGTGTTGGAACTAATGGACTGTGAATGTGTCCATGAACATTTTCCCCATTGTGGTTTTACTCATAGCAGGCATGCTATATATAGAGAGAATTGAGCTTTCTAATACTGACGTCTAAGAACAATGGTAACATAAGTTCATCTGGAATGACTCAGCTAAAAAAATCCGAAAGTTAATCTCTATAAACAGCAAGCATGTGTGTAACTGCTCATCTGTAAAAGGTTACCTGAACCCTTCCAGATAATTTCATCTTAGAGTGTCAGATAAATGATTGTTTGTTCAAGCTGTTCATATTTAATTTTCACTTTCGAACTAGCTGTGACCAGATGGATCCATTGACCAACCATTAAGCTACGAAGTGAACTGTGTTTGTTTAAGTCTTCTGTGAGAATGAGCAGCAGAATTCCTTCCTTGTGAATATATTTACATCCTCTCAAAGCCATAAGATGATGTATATTTGAGAACATGTTTTTGCACATTTCTTTTGATTTTTTGTCAGTACATGATAATCGGGGACCATTCCAGTGAAATGTGGTCTCTTGCCAAATAACTCTTTTACTTTTGACATAATGAGTTTGTGTTCCCTACTAAGAATGAAATACAAAAAATAGAATTACAGAAAACTCATACAATTTACAGTACTTTATAGTATCTTCTCTTTAGGGAAATACAGAGGTGTATTGATCATACTGGATTACTTATTTGTTTATTTGTGTGCATGAAATTGTATTTTAAATATACGGTGACATTTGTTACTTTAACAATAATGAATAAGCTGTCAGTAGAACTTTATGAAATATTTATAAGAAAGTCTCATATTTAGTAAATATTGCTTCTCGCAGATATCTAGAAAAAAGCTTACTGCTTCATTTTTTAAATTTAAGACTTTTTCTGTATTTGAGAGTATGCTTTCATCAAATATTTCAGAATTACCCATTTCTCTGAGGTTCATATATACTATGATTGTTTTAGTATCCTAGCAAATGTTTGTTTCTGTTAAGTAATATTGTTAGTGTTTATACATACACACACACATATATATGGTAATATTGTTAGGTATATATATTGTTAGCCATATATATAAGTTAGATAGGCAGATAGATGCTAGGTATATATAAGTTAGGTAATATTGTTTTTACTGAATTGAAATTTGCTGCACTTGTTATTTGCTGCTTTCAGTGTGATCCGTCACAGAGACGTTCGATCCTGTCACTATGGTGTAATAGACAAGTTCCGCCTCCAAGTTTCTGAGCAAAGCCAGAGGAAGGCTCTAGGAAGGAAAGAGGTCGTTGCCACTCTTCTGCCGTCCGCAAAAGAACAACATAAGGAAGAAGAGGAAAAGAGAATAAAGGAGCATTTAAGTGAAAGTTTATTTTTTGAGCAGTCATTTCAACCAGGTAATATTAGCTTGATTTTAAAGACTTTTTGATGTCGTACACATTTCTAGCTTTAAATAATCAGGACTCTATGGCTAATTATTAGAAAAATGATTTGGCAATTGAAAACCTATTCAACCACTTCAAAACCTGGAACTAGAGCAACGGGTCCCTGAAGTAGAACAAGTGGCCTAAAGCTAGACTTTCAGAGGAGTATCACTCCCTAGACTAGACGATAAGGAGTGGGGGAACATTGCCATAGCCTTTTAAACATTTGTAAAGTCTGGGACTGAATGCAGTATACTTTATGATGCTAGCACAATCTGACAATTATATACTGTTGTTTCTATGACTTCCCTATATCCTTTCTCATTTAATTAGTTCAAAGGAGTAGAGAGATTGTGCTTGGCACTGGGCCAAGCTTAGTGCACTGTTCATATTATTTTGAAAAAAAAATCTCATTAAAGTTGAAGTTAATTAAACTAAGTAGATTATCATATCCCCTCTGGGCTATTAATTGAATCCCTCTCCATTCCTCATTTCCTTCCAGCTTAGATATTCAGAAGTGTTATGATATATTCTTTCAACATCGACTCTATCCTCATATTCACCCTTTTGGACATCATTCTCTTTCCCTCTTAACTTCTTGTTATCTCCTACCAAACCTATTGTGAGAGGAAGATGACAAAATTTTCCACAGAAAAACAGTAAACTTTTTGATGGTGATATGAATATGATAGCTGGCCTTAAAATTGCAACAGTATACTCACATTTTCGTGTGAGGGATCTTTTTTTCTATAAAATCTACTTGTTACATGAACTCATAGGTCCAAGTCAGTTTATCATAGGATGTTTATTTCAATTAAACAGAGAATAGGACCTCTGTCCCTGACTGCAGCCAAATGTCTTCTTCATGTAAGGAGCGTCCAGATGTCCTAGTGGTACCACAGCTAGAGACTGCAGCGTTGTGCATTTTTTCCTAAGCAGCAGTAATTATTAACCGACAGGACCACCTATTTATTTTCTTTTGAAACTGGAAGAGAGCCTTTGTCCAATGACACTTGGTTCAGTCAGAATTGTTGACATTTAAAATGCCGCCCCTAGAACAGCAATGTCTATTGAATGAATATTTGTTTTTCTTAACATTAAATTCATAATGTAAAATAGTCCATTTGTGCTCATTTTTGTATTTAACAAGCTAGTGTATTAGCCAAAGCATAACAAGGATTAAGATTTCAGGGTGTGGATGTGAACCTATATATAATTACAGAACTTCATTTCTTTCAGTTTTGAATTTATTAGAATTGAAGAGGAAATCATGTCAGTGGCAGATAATGGACTTGTGACTGTTTATGAAGGACTATACTATTGTAATAATATAGGGGAAACCAGTGAGGGGAGGAGATTTAGGGAGGGAGGAGGAGAAATCCCAGAGTCTATGGAACTGTATCATAAGATAAATTTTAAAAGAAAAAAAAGGGAAAAGATGTGTAAATGAGCTGAGTTCAGAAAATCACTCCTCACATCTCCTCAGGGGCCTTGGGATTAATCTTAAGCGCCCAAGGCTCCTCCGGCTCTGGCAGAAGAGGGGCCACTCCACAGCAGAGTGTTGTCCACTGCCCCGTCAATGAGCAGTTCGCCTCATTTAGCTAATAATTTGGCAGTAAGTTGAAGCAGATTTGCTTCTGTAATAGACTGTAAACTGATTTGATCTAAGTTGACAAAGTGATATATTTTTTTAACTTCTCCTAGTAGCTTTTTGTACAACTTTGATCATGCAGAATTCCCAGATTTTTCATTATGTGTCTCTGAAATAAATTGAGGATGTTTTGTGGGAAGATTCTGAATGTCTTTTTTTTTTTTTTTTTGCAAATTTTACCTTGGAAAACATTTCAACAAAAACATTATTAGAAGTTTTTAGAGACACAACAGTGTGTGTGAGATTTACAGGTAGCTATAAAATGGTTGAAGACTACATCATGGAAAATTTGGATTTCAAAATGTATTAAAGTCAGTAAAGATGGGGCATTCTTTTAAGTTTATTGTATGTAGCACATAGCAGTAACAAGTTTTAGAAAGAAAAAGAATTGGTAATGCCACACTTTAACCAAATCTGCTTGTACTCCTGTGAGTGTTCCGTGATAACTTTGCAGGTCATGCCTATGTGTATAAATGCGATTTTATATTTGGTGAATGTTTTCACTTACAGAAATATAACTGTTGAATTAGGAGAGACTCATAAAGCACACTTTGACAAAATATCAAGGCCAGGTTATTAAAAAAAGGTTTTAGAAGGTACAGTTCAGTCTGTTGGGTTTGTATCAATTATGTTATTAATGAACTGCCTTGTCTATGCTGTGTTTGCCTCTCTACCCTCTGGCTTAAGAGAACTACATTTCTTTATTATTGTCTGTAATAAAACATTGGAAAATGACCTATAAGCTCATCAGTTGTGAATTTATTAAATTATGAATATTCATAAGATGAGATGCCAGGCAGGCATTTACAGTAATCTGATAAAATGATAGATGCTTGTATATTGACATAGGAAGAGCTTCAAATAGATTTCTCAGTGAGGGGGGGAAAGCAGTTATATAGCAGTATATATACTTTGTAAAGAATAATTTACGAAAAATTATTCTTTTATGTGTTTATTAAGTCTGAAATGCTATATATCAAGATGTTAATGATGTCAGATCTAGGACAATGGATTACAGGGAAAACATTTTCTGCATCTTTATATCATTTCTTATAATCATGAACCAGGAACAAAAGATATTTCCATTTTGAAAAAAAGGTACTTTTGTTTTTGCAGATGTCTAGAATTTCTTTAAGTATTAAAAAAAATTCGAAAATTTTTATGGGCTTTCAATGAACAGAATGGTTACCATGAAAAAATGTTTTTCTTGAAAATTCATCCTTGTAACGCATATAGCTACTTCATATATTAACTTAAATAAGATCTGTTTTAAAATTTATATTGTTTCATCCCAAGCATCATCTGTAAAATTTGTTTTCTGGCTTTGCTGAGGTTCAGTTAAACAAAACAACTAGCATATTAATAATTTGGGAAAGCTTATTTAATAATCGAATGGACAGCATTATTTCATTATAGAACACAAATAGTATATTTGCTGTTGCCCATTCCTTTTAATGAAAAGATAGTGGGGGGGGGGGGAAAGCCACAAAACTAAATGGTGTTATTGGGTTTCTTAGAAAATGAGAGGTCATCAAAAAGTTCATGCAACATGTTTGTTATGAAAAAAATGTGCATCAACTTTGAAATTTTTGCAATAAAATAAACTTATCTTTTAATTTTCATTTTCTTCTTAAACCTTTTTAAAGTCATTGCACATTGTATATATATAGCCAGGATTGTAGAATAGCCAAACCATTGAGAAAATTTCTTTAAAGATTTATTTTATTTTTATTACAAAGTCAGATATACAGAGAGGAGGAGAAACAGAGAGGAAGATCCTCCGTCGATGATTCACTCCCCAAGTGAGCACAACGGCCAGTGCTATGCCGATCTGAAGCCAGGATCCAGGAACCTCTTCCTGGTCTCCCACATGGGTGCAGGGTCCCAAAGCTTCGGGCTGTCTTCGACTGCCTTTCCAGGCCACAAGCAGGGAGCTGGATGGGAAGTGGGGCAGCCAGGATTAGAACCGGTGTCCATATGGGATCCCGGCATGTGCAAGGCGAGGACTTTAGCTGCTAGGTCACTGCGCTGGTCCCAAGAATTTTTTTTAATTTCATTTTATCCTAACACTTAATACAAGATCTGCCCTCATAACTCATTTGTAATGTGCCATACAGTGTTGGTAACCATAGGGACAATGTTGCAGAACTGATCTGAAACTTATTCATCTTGTGTAATTTAAGATTTGTGCTTTATTGATTAGCATTTTGCATTACCCTCTTCCTTCAGACTGGCAAACCATCATGCTGCTCTCTGATTCTAACAGTTTGACTTTTTAAAATTGCTCATGTCATTGGATTCATGTAGTATTTGTTCTTCTGTGACTGACTTATTTCACTTATTTTTGCCAGGTATTATTTCTGCAGCTTTCTTCTTTGCTACTAATGGGATAGAGCAGAGGCAAAGAACTTGCATCCTCAAAAATGCTGTTGCTATTAACATCAAATATATTTGAGATTTCTGCTTGCTACTCTCATAATGTAACGGAGCCATAACGTAGTTGGCTCAGATGGAGTACAGTTGTTTGTTGACTTAAAGAAGGAGGTGCATCCGGACCAGCCCTTCATGAAATGAAAATATGTCAGGAAGACAGTGAATGCACCCGCCCAATTAAACATCATAGGAAACCAGAGTCCTGACAAATTGTAGCTGGTATATGTAAAGAAAGTTTTGTCTTGTTTTTAGAAGTGAGCTTAAGAGATGTCTCTTCTTTTTACAGAAAACAGAAGTGTGTCCTCAGGACCTAGTTTACTGACCGTCTTCCTGGGAGTGGTGTGCATTGCAGCCCTGATGCTTCCTACACTGGGGGATGTGGAATCGCTGGTGCCTCTCTACCTCCACTTAAGCGTGAATCAGAAACTAGTGGCTGCTTATATCTTAGGTAAGTCTTTTAAAAGCATGCACTTGGACTGCAGTGTAAATTTAAAATATGTCATCTCAAAAGCCTAAGGAGAAAGGAAGGGAAGGGGAGGGAGGGAAGAATGTCATATCATCCTATCTGTATGAACTAAGTTGAGTCTGGTAAAAACTAAACCAAAAAAAGCCCTAAATTAATAAATAATAAAGATGCACTAGGATATATTTAGTTTTATGTGTATAGGAATGATGGTACTTTAATTTTTTTTTTCTTTTAAAAAGAAGGGAGGTTGGTGCCAGCAGGTGATTCAGCAGGTTAGTCCTCTGTCCTGTGGCATCCCATATGTGCACTGGTTCCTGTCCCAACTACTCCACTTCCCATCCAGGTCTCTGCCTGTGGCTTGGGAAGGTGACAGGACAGCCAAAGCCTTCCAGTCTGCACCCGCATGGGAGACCCCAAAGAGGTTCCTGCGGGTCAGCTCAGCTCTGTTGTGACTATTTTGGGCATGAACCAGTGGTTGGAAGATGTTCTCTCACAGTTTCTCCTTCTCTCTCTCTGTAAAATCTGCCTTCCAAATAAAAATAAATAAATCTTTCAATAAATAAACTAAAAGACATGAGGATGAATTCAAAAGCATTGCTGGGGTTATGTGCATTTGAAAATATAACTTTGACTTGGCCTTTAATTCTTTCCAGCTTATTTATCTAGTACCTAATATTATATTTATTCAGTTAGTATCCTTTCTGCTGGCTTGCAGTGGTAGGAAACATGTAAGGTGTGAAATGAGCACATTCCATGAGGCAGCATTTGTGCTTTTAGTGACTGTTCCTAGAGAAACACCTGGACAGAGTGCAGACCGTGATAAGGATGAGCAGAGTAATCTTGTCCAATATTGCCAACTTTCTTCTTTAAAGCAATCCCCTTAAGTCCTGATCACTCAATTCTTTTAGTCATATTCTGGCTTGAAATCTTCCAGCTAATTATTTTTATTGAGAATTCAATACAGTGCATGTGCCAGGTAGAGTTCTGTTGATGAATAAGTGTTTGCTCATATTCTCTCCTCACCTCTACCTGGATGCCAACTCTTTAGTTGTTGCAGCATTCTCACTTGTTCCCACTGGTTTTCAGTTCACACTTGTCTTCTGAAGTTTTCCCCCTACCTCTGTCTATACCCTTGCCTCTTATTTTTACCCCCAAACCATTCATCAATGCTGTCAGAATGATGTGCATTCCATTTTGATTTCACGATCACCCTTTAGTCAAAATCCTTTGGCGTGTGCTTCCTCACAGTCTGTGGAACAAAGTAAAACTGTTTACTTTGGCATTTAAGATTCTTCACAGCCTGCTGAAGACCACTTAGAGCTTATCTTGTCTAGCTGCTTCCCAATAAAATCCTTGGATGTAGTCTCTCTGTTTAATTATCTATTAATTCTGGAATTGCTTGTCTAGAATCCTAGTCCTCTCTTCAGGCTCTTGATCATGCCACACCCTCTCCAGAAACACCTGCCAATCTCATTGAATATTTCTGGCTCATCTTTTAAGACTTCAGTTCTTACTTTTAAGGTCAGGTTTTGGTTTTTGTTTGTTTGTTTTGTTTCGTTTTTTACAGCCTAAGGTCAGTTTTTGTCACACAGTTTCCTCATTACTCATTTGGAACTGAGCATATTCTTGTAGTTATATGGAGTCCCTTTGAAACAGAATAGGTAAAGCATCACCACGATTCTCCTATCTCTTCGTGGCCTTAGAACCATGGGATAAAAAAATGTTCTTGTTTCTGTTGATGAAGTCTGCTGGACTTGCTGACATTTTAAAATGGCATGCCTACTATTATTATAGCTGATGTGAGTGGATAAAGTAGGAGGTATGTTTGGTGGTTAAACTAGCTATGGCCAGACATTAGGGATTTCATTAAATCTAGCCAGCAACTACCCATTGCTGCAAATTTGATTTCTTCTGTATAGTATCAACTAAACTCAAATGGACTTTGAGTTCTTGGTAGAATGCCTGCCTGTGTGCTGTATTTTATTAAATCACTGAAGTTCCAATAATCGCTTATTGAATGAAAAATTTTGTAAAATGCATGTTTTTGATTGTCTCTTTTTTCCTTTCAGGTCTTATTACAATGGCTATACTTAGAACATGAGCAAGGATTTCAGTAGACTTCTGAAGGAAATTTATTTTGAAAATATAAATGTGGACTGCCTTTTATCTCTTTCACTCCATTAACATGCTATAAAGTATTGAATTATTTCAAATAATAGCAAATGTATAATATATATTTTAAATTGCTCTATAATTTTATTTGAAAGACTCCAGTACATTATGTTACAGACAACAATGACGCTTCTGAGTGGTACCTAGGAAATTCTTTGAAGAAATTTTTTATATCTATATCTATTGTGCAAAAGACTTTAATGAAAACATTTCTTTTTTTTCTGATTCCCTTTGATTGTTAAGCATCATGTGCCCTTCAAAGTTAAAGCCTAAAAGAGCAAATTGATCAGCCTAATAAGTAGAACCTACATGTATTTCCTAGCTTCAAAGATCGATATTACTATGTAAGTTAAGCCATCCCCTCTTATTATTATGAACAGTTGCCATGGTGTTTCTAAAGTAAGAGTTTCACAATTATTTTGTGGTGGGTAAAAGTGAAAAGCAAAAAATTCCAAGGGATCATACTAATCCTGGGGAGTTAGAGAAGACAGGACATTTTCCATTCATCTTGTAAACTACAGAATGGGTTGTGGTCCAGATACCAAGCACATGGCTTGTTTTTCAGCCTAATAGCAATAGAGTTACCTCTCTATCTACATTTTAGAGCAAGGGAGGCATTTGTTTATTTTTTTTGGCTGGTCCTCTAGTTATTGCTTTATGTTAATAGGGGGAAATCACTTTCTCTTTTCCTCCCAGTCCCTTGCCTCCCTGACTGTGACATGCCCGGATTATCATGTAGCAGGTGGTTAATGTGGAGATGATTTTTCATCCCAAAACGCTAAGCCAAGAATAGGAAACCCTTGATACCTGTGTCTATTTTATAACAGTCACTGAGAGATTTTTTAAGTTTTTATTTATTTTTAAAACAACTTTACCAAAAAAAATCCCCTAAGCACAACTACTTAGTTTTCTTTATAGTCTCTTAGATCTCTGACATATATATGCAGTTTCAACTGTTATGATAGTAATTGATGTTTTTTCCTTAGGATTTGTATCTGAAAGCACAATGCATTAAAAAGTCTCTTGAAAATTCTCTTTCAGATCTTTTTACAGAATGAACTTATGCACTGCTACTGTAGCATTCTCAAGGAATATACATGAACACAAATGTATGCTTGAGGTTGATTTTAGCAGGAAACAGTACTCTGCTTCTGAAGGCTTTTATGACTAGTCTTTCTTTGAAAACCTTCATTGTGTAACCATTTGTGGAGTCTGGATTGTTAAATGGATTATGTCTGTACATTGTATAATGACTGAAAGCACATAAATGTTAATCTACTTTGAACTTTGTAAAAAAAAAAAAAGAAACAACCTTATGTTTGGACGCTATCTTTGTTTATCCATCTCAAATATTCTATGTGTGCATGCACATGCAGGTGCACGCATGTGTATGTACGTGTGTGATAACACATTGTAAAGAACAGAGATTCCTTTAAGAAATAAAAGAAAAATAGAGACATAAGTTTTGCACTGATTTAAGTATTTTTGAGGGTGTTAGGGATAATCAAAGTTGCCTCATACTTCTAGGAGTTAAATAAGAAAAACAGGAAGAGTGAAATGGGTATTTAGAAACGTGTCTATCTTAACCAAGGCAATTCATTCATTCTTTTAAACTTCCAATCACATGCTTCAAAAATACAAAAAATATATAGTGAAAAATCACCCTTCCCCATTCCTGGTTCACCCAGCCCCTTACGTGGGGCCACTTTTTTCTCTAGCTGAAGCATACGTCTAGTGCTATGTATGAGCATACATTTTTATCTCTTCGAAAACTCTTTGAGTGCTACGAGTCCTGGGACTGGGCTGGCTCTGGAAGGTTGGCCTTGATTCATGTATGGGAGAAGTTGGTTCATAGGCAAGGTAAAGATGATTGTGCCATGTGGTGAGAGTTGTTTTCTCTTTTTTAATCTCATTTTTTTTTAAAAAAAGATGCATGTATTTTTATTGGAAAGGCAGATTTACAGAGAGGAGAGACAGGAAGATCTTCCACCCACTGGTTCACTCCCCAAGTGACCACAAAGATCAGAGCTGAGCTGATCCAAAGCCAGGAGCCAGGAGCTTCTTTCAGGTCTCCCCCGCGGGTGCAGGGTCCCAAGGCTTTGGGCCATCCTTGACTGCTTTCCCAGGCCACAGGCAGGGAGCTGGATGGGAAGTGGGGCCACTGGGACGCGAACCAATGCCCATGTGGGATCCCAGCATGTGCAAGGCAAAGACTTTAGCCACTGAGTCACTGTGCCAGACCTGAGGAGAGTTGTTTTATAACAATGTACAGGGAGAATTTAAACTGATGTACATGTTATTAACTTCCTGCTGACAGTGAAGAAGACTTTATTGCTGTGATTCAAGGGGATGAATGACAGCTAATGAGTAACGAATGAAGCTAACCCAGGGGTCGTGGGTATTACAAGTTAATGAGGGAAGAGTTAAAGAAGTAGTTGTCACTGTGAAAATAAGTATGATTCATCCTGAAAGCAGCCAGCAAACAGGAAGCACACAGCAAGAGACATGGCAATAATTGTAATTATCTGTCACTGCAGGTGTTTCTGCCACCTCTGAATCGTTAGGCCTGCACAATTCTGCCACCTCGGTTTGCTTCCAAAAGCGTTGTATAAAGTCATCATGTTAAGTCTTGGGTTTCTGGAAGGGATTCCAGCTACAAGTGACTCCTAGATATTTTCATTCACCAAGCTATACATAGACTATAGCAGCTGTGAAGGAGACGCTTACAGGGTTTCCACATGCACAAGGAAGTAGATGGCTAAGGTTTCAAAACTTCACTATTATGAAAAAGTATGAAATTTTCAAGTGGCATCTAAGGCTTTGACATGTACAGGGCACATGCCTGCAAAGGAACCATGCTGACCTGAAAACAGTTGGGGACCAAACTAGGATTGTGTGGTTTCATTAGATGATTTAAATAGAGGAGCCCAGCAGAGCCTCAGCGTAGTTATCTCAGCAGCAGAATGTCAAGTTAGTGATTATTTCATTAGGAAAATATTTGCTACACCTATAATCTGGAAGTGATAAACAACATACCAGAACAGAACATTAGTCTCTAGGATTAAATACCAAACAGAATGACAGAGTTGACCCAGCTACAAGACATCAGCAGGAGGCACTTCCACTGACCACATCAAAGGCCCTTTAAGCCACTGGGGGGGGGAGGCGACATGGGAGGGGGGAAGGAGGAAAGGAGAAATAAGGAATTTGGAGAGGCTTTGTAATAATATAGAGGACAAAAAAGCAAGTGGACTAAGCCTAAGCTGTTTCCTTTGTGTTCATTTGCTTTCTGATTTGCTTGAAATATCAGTAATTAGGAGTTGGTCAACAAGTTAAACTGATAAGTGCCCTAGACTACGGCATCTTCCATACCTAACAAGTCTGGGCCCGGGGGTGCACATTGTGGTGCAGTGGTTTAGCCACGGCTTATGACCACATCCCATGTCAGAGTGCCAGCTCAGGTCCTGGCTAGTCTGCCTCTGATCCAAATCCCTGCTAATGTACCTGGAAAAGTAGCAGAAGGTCGCCAGGTTCTTGAGGCCTTGCAACTCATGTGGAAGACCTAGGTAGAGTTATTGGTTCCTGGGTTCAGCCTGGCTGAGCTCCTGCTGTTGTGGGCATTTGGGGAGTAAACAGAGATGGATGCATTCTTTCTCGAATTACATATAAAACTCTCACATAAGTAAATACCTTTTTAAAAAACTGGACCGAGTTCAAGGAAGATGGTGGTGGTGGGGGGTGCATATCTAGCTCACCAAGTGCAGTTTCCAGCTAGCTGGGCAACTCCTTTGTAATCACTGACTTCATGAACACATGTTAGGCAGTTCTGGCTGTGATCCAGGTTTGGGGGCGGGGGTGGAAAGGCCTGGTTTAATAAAATGAAAGGACTAAATTAACTGATTTCTTGAGAATGTAGGTAGACAATGGAAAATCTGTCTTGACAAAATGAAATGTGAACTGTGCTGTTAAAAAAAATGTGTATACACATACTGAAATGCCCTCACTGCAGGCCATAAATATGTACAACTATTGTAACAATTTTCTTTATGTGCTGAATCCTGGGATGGATAGGCAGAATGCAAATGTGGCACACACACACACACACAGAGGTAAAATCCCAAAGCAGATCACTTTTGCATAATCTTAAGTCCCAAAAGGCAAGGTTAGGAATGAATTCATGTGGAGAATTTTAACAAATTCTCTTTTTCCTAACAAACACGTGTTTGGAGCTAATCACTGTACTGGATAACTTATATCTTCTATTCTCAGACTGTTAGGTAACAGGTGTTTTCTGGTTGTGGCTTTTAAAAATAACCTATGTTGTGGAACAGTTTTGTGCTCTCAGCAATAGTGTGCAGCAAGTACAGGGAGTGGTCATACACTACTTTGCCCCTTAGACACAGGCACAGCCTCCCCTACTCTCAACATCCCACCATAGAGAGGTGCACTTGTTATGATCCGTAGACCCACACTTCACATTGCGATTCACATTCTGTGGGTTTGAACAGATGCCTAATGATGTACATCTGCCAGAAGAGCATCATTCGGGACAATTTTGTGGCTTTCAAATTCCTGTTGTGGTTTACTTTCGTAACTTAAAAATCCATTACAGAAAATTTGAAACAATTTACAAGAGCGGATTAAATAGTGTAATAAACTACTGCCCAATCTGGATGAGATTTTTTTTATCAAAGCTATGGAATTATAGCTTTTGGAAGACTGACTTCTGTGGGAAAAGTTTTCATTTTTGTCTTTTTTAAAAGATTTATTTGAAAGGTAGAGGGAGAGATAAAGACAAATATTTATCTGCATGTTTCACTACCCCCAAAACCTGCAGTAGCTAGGTTTTAGACACAGCAACCAGGTGCCAGGAACCCTGTCTGGGTCTCCCATGTGGGTGGCAGGAGTCCAAGTGCTTGGCCCATCTGCTGCTTTCCAATGTGCATCAGCAGCGAGAGACTCGCTGGATCCTAAGCAGGTAGCAACTTAACCCGCTGAAATCCTAGTTCCTCTTCTCATTTTTAAAAGACTGATTACATTATTTGTAGGTGGTCGTGTTAGGGAACTTCAAGAAATGTATGGAAAATGGAACTGGAATGGAAGTTTATTTTGAGGCAAAAGAATGAAATTGTGTGTACATGTGTGTTCACATGCGCACACACGTGTGTATGTGTTAAGCACTAACTGTGCTGGGTATTTCACAAATGCTATCTAGACCCTTGCTGCTCCAAGTGTGGGATATTACCCAGTGAACAGCCTGGCCATAGCCTGCAAACTTACTGAACAACAACAGTGTCAGGTTTCACACGAGTCCAACGGAATCCGAGTGGGCATGTTAACAAGATTCCCAGGCAGGCTGTGCTGGCAATCAAAGTCAAAGAAGTACTGAGTGCTTGACCCAGGGTAGACACACAATAACTGTCTCTCAATCTTGCAACAATATTGCAAGGCTGATTCCATCCTGCCCAATCTGCAGATGAGATAACTGACACAGAGAGTGACTTTTTGACTTCTCTGAGGTCCCACAACTAATGAACTGAGGTATGTTTGGTTTCAGAGTCCATGACTTACAGCATGCTTCCTCTCATAGAGGGAGTTCAGTTTGACGACAACTCAGTAAAAGAAGAAACTGAGACAGTGTGTGTAGCACAACACAGAAACAACCAGCTTTCTCGGCAACAACAACTAATGGCAAAAACTCAACCTGTTTGCTAGCATGCACGCAGTGCTGTCTCCACTGAAAGGTCTTTTCCCTTTTCAACCCGCTAGCATGGCATTGTGTATGTAGCCTTTCAGTGGTGAGAAAACAGAAACAGGAGCAATCATCAGTTACTCCCTATTGTTAATGACTGTTGACCCAAATATGAAGCAAGTTGCAAACTACAAGCTCTCCTAGAATGCAGAGAAGATTTGCTGCACACCCAAAGTATCAGTAAAAATATAAAAATCAGATTATCATGTCACACAGGCAGGAAGGGCAAATTGATGGCTATTTCGCTTTGTGACCAGTTGGGCAACTTTAGCCTGTGGCTGTTCCAACACCAAGATGGACCCTTCCACATTTAAACTCTCCTCGACAATATGATAGGGCTGTTTTGGAGTATATCCCTAGTTTCGCTGGAACCCCGTACCCCCAGTTTCAGTGGAACCATTAGATCTCAGAAACCTCTCTGATCCTGAGAGAACAGAGGCTGTTTTCTTCTCTTTTGCTACCCCAGTGGCACCTGAACTTGCATTGATGGAGCTGCATGGATGAGTAGATGAATTGAAGTGATGATTAATTAACCTCTAGCAGGAACCTAATGAAGTTCTGAACACCAAGCCCCAGAGACCCAGTATGAGGCAAACTGCCCTCACATAAAAAGATCAGGAGCAGAGGTAGGCCAACCGGCCTGGTGACAGGCCTCAACAGGGTTATGATTGACTTTCTGCTCCAGAAGCAGATGACCTGAACACAGTTGAGTCTTGTGAGACAGTACACCTTTCTGAAAACATGCTAAAGATTCAACAAAGCTACTTATATATAACATTAAATCAAATCCTAAGTGTGTCTCCTCTGCCATGGAAACAAGTATTTGGATCCCTTTACCTAATATTCTACTGAAGCAAATGACATTGCATGGCCAAGGCCAAGTTTGTCTGCCTATGATAGATATTAGTATTAAATATAATATTTAATAAGAATTGCTTATTAAGCATAATTAATTATATTTAACTATAAATGTAAAACTAAATAATTATGTTAAATATAATTCTTTCATTAAATATAATTTTTATTATAAATGTGGATTCACCAAATTTAAAAACTCAATTAACAAACATATATTTAATAATTATTCATTAATATCTCCAATATAAATTTATAAATTATGCTAAATATATCATATATTATATTAAATATACATCATGTACATTTAGTAGGAGACAAGCTTGGCCTTGGCCATATGCATATATGTGTATATAAACTTTATTTATATATAATGAGCAACACTAGGAGTTGAAACAGAATAAACCAAAACAAAAACAGCAAATCAACAGAAACATCTAAGGTAAAATATATAAGACCTTGAGTTATTTTCAAAGGTCTTTTTTTCCCTAAGATTTATTTATTTGAAAAGCAGACTGACGAAAGAGGGAGGGAGAGAGAGACAGAATCTCCCTTTTATTGGCTCACTTTCCAACTGGACATGACAGCTGGAGGCAAACATTTGATCCAAGTCACGAGTGTCAGAGCATAAGTATTTGGGCCATCTGCTACTGCTTTCCAGATCTCTAGCTATGACGCAAGATGCTGTTGTCTCAAGCAGTGACTTAACCGGCTGTACCACAATGCTGGCCTCTTAAGAGTATTTTTCTAAACAGGAAAGCAGGTGTTTAAAATAGTGCATTTTCAATATTGTGTTTTAATAATGTGCGAATAGCTGTATCCCCCTTCTAAAACCTTCACAAGGCCTTTCCTACAGTTGCTTTTTGTCTGTACCATTTCTGTGAAGATTGGAAGGGCAGATGGTATCCCACTTTTGCAGATGAGCAAACTGTGACTCTGACAGTTGAACTTGCCTTCCACAAGAAGGCTTCCCAGTAAGTAAAAGACAGAGCCAAGACCCAAACTCCCCAACCACCTGTCAGTTCTGTGTTCTTTCCACTTCCCATATAGGTTGATTTAAAAAAAAAATAACATAAGAGTAGCTACAAAATTATTCCCCTAGAAAAACAAGGAAGTTGAGAACAAATCAGGCCTACTTAATTAATTAGAAAATCTTTTCACTTTGGAAATTACAAATGATACAACAGGGTGAGGGGGAGGTAGGAGAGCGCAGCTGGAGACATCAACAACCACACTCGTCATGCACGCGGAGTCCTTGGTTGTGGGCTAGGATGTGGAGCCAAGCAATGGCACCAGGAGTGGGTACAGAACTCGTTGCATTTTCTCTTGTTCTCCCTCACTGTGTTCTCATCTAAATGGAAATCAAAAGTGATGTGGATGGCAAAGCTCTCAGAGTCAGGAATTCGGGGCCGCTACCTGGATCACAATGTCTCCCGACTCAAAGGCAGATGCCCACTCCCCCCTCTGTCTCTGGGGCTGGCTGTGAAGGGAGCCATTAGTCTGAAGTCATTTATTTTAAAGGGAACCACATCATAATGCGTCTGACCTTGGCTTTGCATATGTGCTGCTGTTCAGTTCAGCAGAGAGCACAGTGTTCTTTGCAAAGTGAATAGGAAGTTAAATTTGCTCAAAATGAAAAAACATTAAAATAGTCCAGGGGAAAGCGGGTAAGAGACCCAAACTAATCCTAGCTATAGCATTTCCATGATACCTCTCCCATTAACCCTTTCCTATCCTAGCATGACTTTGACTCATAATTTTATGATTTTATTACTGCAGACTATGGAGTGGGCTTTGATGATGCTCTTGTATGTACAAAAGTGTCCTGGGGAGTTGGACTGTAGCTTGTATTATCTCACGGAACAATCCTTGTAGAGATCACACAGATGACACATCAGCCTAGGGACTTAAATCCACCGCATAAACCACTTGCACTTAAAAGGCCCCAATTGTTGCAGGCCAGATTTTAAATCTGTAGTTATTGGATTTCTGGAATCTTCTGTTGGTCTTCTAGGTTTTCCAGTACCTTTCCCCCTCTCACTAGGCAAAAGGAACAGAAAAAAAAAAAGAGGTATTTGTCTGAGACAGCGCAGTGTGCGACAAATCAGCACAAGAGGGCATTGTTGTAATGGCTAATCTAAAGCTAAGCATCACATATTAGTGCAGGCAGTTACGGAAGGAAACACATGTCCAAGCTCTAAAGGTTTATATCAAAGCTTCCAACACCCCTAAAAACTCAGCCAAGCTTGTTTGTTTGTTTGTTTGTTTGGCAGGGCTTCGATGGACATTTGGAGGAGACCCGGCACGAATCTAAGTCAGGGCTGGAGAAGCCATTTTTTGAGCCTAAGATGTTGTGAAAGCTAAGGTGCCAGAAACCGAAGTTTTAAGTTACAAAATTATGGAGAAAAACAGTGAATTAGTGATCAACCAAAGGTTCAGGATGGTGGGGAGTGGGATTATATAAAGGCCCATTAGGGAGGTCTTTGTATCTTGATTGCAGTGATAGTTCCATGAATCTAACCATGTAGTAAAATGGCTAGAAGCCACACACACTGTGCACCTCCAAAAATTTTTCTGGCCTTTATATCATACTGCAATCATTTGAGGTACAATTATTGGGGATGCTGGGTGAGGAGCAACTTCTTGTGAATCTAATTATTTCAACCTTTTAAGAAATCTTGGGGTTGGCGTGATGGCTTAGTTTACTAATCCTCCATCTAAAAATACCAGCATCAAATATGGGTCCCGGTTTGTATCCCAGCTGCTCCACTTTCCATCCAGCTCCCTGCTTGTGGCCTGGGAAAGCAGTAAAGGACAGCCTAAAGCCTTGGGACCCTGCACCCATGTGGGAGACCCAGAAGAAGTTCCTGGATTCAGATCCGCTCAGCTCTGGCTATTGTGGCAATATGGGGAGTGAATCACAGGACTGTAGATTTTTCTGTCTCTTTTTCTCTGTAAATCTGTGTTTCCAATAAAAGGAAATCTCAAGTATAATCCTGCATTCATTGCTTTGATTTTGATTTTTAAAATAATCTTGTTGTTTTTAAATTAATTTTTAGCTTTGGTTTTTAACATATTTGAAAGGGGGCGAAAGAGAGCACTCCAACCTGCTTGCATGCTTCCTAACTGCCTGAGACAGTGAGCATCCGGAAGCCAGAGCCCAAAGCAGGCTTCCCACATGGGGGCCAGGGACCCAAGTATTTAAGCCATCACTTGCTGCCTCCTATCTGGTGCCAGAATCTGGAGCTGAAAATCAAATTCAGGCACTCCAATGTGGGATGTGATCATCCTCCAAAACCTTTCATTTGTTCCATTTTTCTTTGGAGAGAAACCCACTCCCCACCCTGGATTTTCTTTTTTCGTTCGTTCACTGGGGGAAAGATCAGAGAATGCAATGCCCTTCTTTTATTTAAACTGACAGAAGTGATGTTTCAGGTGGAGTTGTCCATTGGTTACACCTTGAGCCAACCTGAAAAATTCTGTATCCAACCGAATCAGATCTTCTCTCTAACAGGGAAAGAAAGCATAAGCATGTTAAATTTTTCTCAACATTTCTTGTATGAATCAAAGCTTAGGGCAGGAAAGAGAGGACAAACTAGGGTGGGTACGGAGTCTTGTGGTTCTGGAATGAGAGGCATAAGGTCACTACACAAAGCTGAGAGTAGAACAGTATGAGTTAAACTAGCATCTGAGAAGGACAGTAAAAGCAGAACGTAGAAATTCAAGCCAGTTTCTCCCTACCTCTTCAAGCAAACCGGAAGAGGAGATGGACAAACCCCGAACCCTAGGATGATAACAGGTAACTGTGACCAACATGTTACACAGAGATTTGGGATGGGAGCACCTGCCACTGAGTGATTCCTAGCACATCCTGTGTCCTGGAAGACCCATCTTGGCCTTTGTTTATTCCATGCATCTCTCTGAAACTTCTTCAGTACATCTCATCTGGACCATTCATCCTAGCACAAGATACTAAGCTAACATGCTGAATTATTTCCTTCCTTGACACATTGTTATGGCAAGTCTCTTGATGTGATAAAGCTTGCCTTTAAAGCAAGCATTATTTTAAACAAATGGTAAGAAGCTCAAGTAAAATTATAAGCAAAGAGTTTGTGTGTTGACAAATCGATTCTTTATTAGTTTATCAGGTGTAAAGTAAGAAAAATAATCAAATGTAGATGGACATAGTTCTCGCCTCAGAATCTGGAAAGTTATTAAACATGGCAAAGAAATCTGAAGTTGTGTGCTCCATCAGTGTCTTGTGATCACGCCATAGTCTGTAGCCTTCAGTTATGCATGGAGTACAACAGAAAGGATAATTGATCAGGAAAGGCAGTTGCAGATTTGAAATCCACTCACTGATTAAGCCAATAAATATTTACTGACTGCCTGCCATGGAACTGGGCTCTGTGGTTCATAGACATGATCCTGCCTTACACTGAATTTACTAAGCTGTATGGCCTGCAGGACTAAGTTTGTCTCTCTGGGTCTCATGCCCACACTCTGTCAAATGGTGACAAATGTATTTACATCACAACCAAATTGTGAAAATGATATGAAAGAATGTAAGGGCAAGAGCTATGCAGATTGTAACTGCTCTCTATTATTGTCCTCTATGTAATGGTTATATGAATAGCTTGTGATCACTTGAAAATTGTAGTAAGTCTATTTCAAGGAGCAGAGCATGTTCTGCCAAGCTCATTTATCTTCCTTACATGTTGGCAAGTCAGTAAAACCAAAGTGGTAGAGACAGAATTTTTGTATACTGGGGAAAGGAGTAGAGAATTGTACTCTGTGTTCTCAGATGGGTTAGACTTCAGACATGACCCACTGACAAACTGAGTTATAATTCCCCCCAAAAGATATGTGGAAGTCCTGACCCGTGGGACCAGTGAATGTGTCCTGATTTGGAAATAGGGTCTCTGTCAATGTAATTATTCTAAGATAAAGTCACATTAAGATGAAGGCACAAGTCCAATATGATGTTTCCGTAACAAGAGGTGTATTTGGAGAGAACACCACAGAGGGAAGAATGTCAAAGGCAATGATTATAGCTTTTCAACCACAAGTCTAGGAAGCTACCAGAAAACAGGAAGAGAATCCATTCAGTGCTTGGAGCCACTTAGTGTGTGATACTACACTACAGAGGCCCCCAAAACGTAATACAGTCCGAAACAGAAACCAGCCCCAGCACATACACTTCCTTCTGCCCTCCATGGAGTCATGGCCCCTTTTCCTTTTCTGCACATTAGTCTGCAGAAAATAGTGTCCTGATCAAATTGGCTCAAGATGTGGGTCTCTGGAATGGCAGAAGAGTTTGTGCTAAATACTGAATTCTATTTCGTATTTTTTCAGAGAAGTCAGAATAGAGGCAAAAATTCTCCCATTTACTCTCCTGTTCTCAAGTTTGAGGCAAAATAGAGTAAACAGCCATTGGATATACAGACAAGGGGCCTACTGAGCAAACAGCTGCTGCCAGCAGGCCTTAGCACGGACACTGTTTGGTGGAAGCCTTGGAGTCCATTCTGAGCCCCCATTAAGGCCACAGGCTTACAGGAGGACCTCATCTAAGGTTTCCAAGTGCTGTAAAGGATCATGTGTTTTGGAGCCAGCTGCCAGCGTGGAAACAACTAGAGGCTGCTAGAAAAGGAGGCACCTCTTGTGGATAAATAGATACATATGTATGTATAACACTGAAAATTGCTGTTTGTCACCCACCAAACCAGTTAGAGAAATCCTCATGAAAAACATGATACTTTCATCATACTTTCAAGGTATCTCTCCATTTGTTATGAAGTATAAAAAGAAAACAATATCTTTACAGTGGAAAAATCTGGAAGACATCATCTTGACCAAGAAATCAGAGTTGACATTACTGAGCACCATCGTGTGTCTTTTCATGTTTCATTCCTGCAAAAAAAATGTGTGTCCTGACTCATCGTGGGGCCACATCAGGCAAACCCATATTGAAGGACATTTTACAATGTCATGTACTCTTCCAAAATGTCAATGTCATGAACAAAAACTAAAGGTTGAGGACTGCTACAGATTTGAAAACACTCAAGGGAACTAAGAAATACAAAAGCTAAATATAATATGTTATCTTAGACTGCATATTGGTTGAGAAAAAAACTGCAATGAAGGGCAATACTAGGGCAGTTAAAATTTGAGCTTTAGATTGCATGAAGGTACCTCGAAAAGTTCATGAATGGTGAAACTGAAAGCTATGTTGATTTTGATATAAAATATTTGAAAGCAATGAATAGTTTTTAATAACATGTATTTTCCATGAATGTTTTGAAGACCCATGCATATCAATATAATAAGCACTATATTTCCTGAAATTGAGAACACTACTGTGTTTATGTAACATAATGTTCTTGTTCTTAGGAAAAATGCTGAAGGATTAAGGGCCAAAAGGACATGATATCTGTAGCTTACTTCCAAGTGTTCCAGAAAGAAAAATGCATGTGTGCATATCCGAATAGAATATCTGAGCATGATAAAGGCTACATCAAAGTTCTATTCTATGCAGTTTCCTGTATATTTAAGTATTTAAAATTAATAATTATATATATATATAATTTTGAACATTTAACCATGTTGTGCTAAGTGTGTGAAACCCAAAGAAAACAGGACCTGTTGTCCCTCCTTAGTTTACAGTCTGTGACAGGAGGGACAATAAAGAGGCAAGCATCACTCCATGACATAAGGGATGTTTGGAAAACACAGAGAAAGTAAAATCAACCTAGAAATCCTAGAAATGGGGTTGGAAGAGCTCTTTCGGGGAAGAGGTAAAGGAGACATGTAAAGTCAACAGAACGTAACTTGGGCTTCCAACAAGATATGCAAGCAGAGGGGATTGACAGACTGTAGGATATAGAGAAGGAGCCTGGGTATGTGGGCAGTTACGTATAAGCCACTTGCCTCCTGAAGACAAATGACAAGTCATGGATTAACAGGTGTAAGGGGCAAGCTGAGGTTTCCATAGGCTCTGAGGTAACTTAAGAAGCAGAGACATAAACCAAACAACTCAAGGTTGAAAGACTGAACAGAAGTGTGCATATTGATGCAATTTCCACTGATGTATAGTGAATGTTCAAGAGCCTCAGCCATAGACTGACACATATAAGTAACCTGGATAAATGTGTGGCACCAAATAATTTCATGTTGCTAATAATACATTGGGAGGTTGGAAGAAAAAGTTAAGTGATTGTAAGAAACTGAAGAAGTGATTTTTCTTGAGAACAGGATGAACTTTACCAGTAATAAGGATAAGGCAATAGCCAATTAGCACACAACAGGATGGGGAGAGATTGCTGTTAATAAGAAAAATCCGGAGAACAGTACTCAGTCCTATAATAAAGAGAAATCGGTAAGACAGTACTAGTGATTCTGAAGTCAATGGGGAATGGGAATTTCCACTCAATTATGAGATACAAGAGCTAGGATGAGGAAGTACATGAATGTTTTTAGCAAGGGCCTAGTGGGAGTTCTTTTTTTCTTTTTAAACTTATTCTATTACGAAAAATTTACCAAAATAGTGAGAACAACATATGTTTAATCCACATGAAACTGAAAAAATTTAACCATTTTTGATATATAAAGATGGCAATTTCACATTTCAAATGAAAATGAACCCTCATATATCCATCAGCCAGCTGTCATAGTTATCAACACTTGGTCAACAGCACTTCATCCAAGTTCCCACCCATTAAGCTTGCCTAATCCGAAGCAAACTTCTGCTGGAAGTTGTCCTTGTGTTTTTGTTTCAATGACTTAATAAAACAGATTCAATTGATTGATATTCATTTTCAAATTAATATATTCATATTATGTAGAAATGCATATTGTAAATACACAATATGAATATTATATAGCCCACATATATACTTTTTAATTATTCTATTTTCTCATGAGATAATATAGTCACATCTCAAATGCAAAGGGTACAGAAAAAGAAAGAAGCGAAAAGTCCCCTAATCTTGGTTCTCTTTCTAAGAGCTTCCAACCCTAGTCCACTTGCCAACAGCCTTCCTTTCTCGGAGGCAAGATTTTCATGCATCCATATGACAATATTTTGTGCATGTTTGGAAATACACTGCAAAACTGTACACACTGTTCTAAACCTTGTTTGTCTCAGTTAACAATATAATCTGAAGATCATGCCATATCAACAGGTACCACATTATGACTACCTAGCAGTCCATTTTATGAACCATAAGTTACTGAAATCAAATCATTGTCGAGGGACTTTTAGGCTCTTGTCTAACTGCTACTCTGACTCACCTTATGTATTCATTGTGCACAAAGACAAATATGTATATATTTGGCATAAATTCATCAAGGCACAATAATTGATGGATGGAAGAGTGTACAGTTGTAATTTTGGCAGATATTACCTATTGGCCTCTTTGCTTGAATGCTGCCTATATCCTTTCATAGTGGGCTGTTTCCTTGCTACTCGCAGCCACTGAATTTCAGAGTCCATATGAAAATCCTTCAAC